AAGAGCGAGGACTCAAACCCGAGACTGCAGTCCAGTTCCCCAGATTATGCTGTTACTGTCCTGGGTGTGCCCTGGTCCCATCACCAGAACCTGCAGCGGAATCCTGGGTCTCCCCAGTGGACCCTGGCCCTTCCCTCACTACGGTGCCCCACCCCAGCTCTCACTCACGTTGCCAGCGGGAGTGCCAGCCGTGTAGGGCATCTCATGCCAGTCCCCGGTCCTGCTCCTGGGTCCACTGTGTCACCTCCTACAACTGCATCAGCCGCCACCGCCACAGGCCCAGTGCAGTCCTGCATCTCCGATCCTGGGCCCAGCGGGCAGCCATTTCTCTCCGGGTCCCTTGGGTTGTTGTCCAGTGGCTCCAGGTGAGGAGGATGCTGGGAAGGGGAGTGTCCACCCTGAGAATGGCCCCTGCCATTACAGGTCAGCTCATCCCTCCTCACCCCTCCCCTCAGCATTAGGAAGGGCCAGGGGTGACTCTTCTCCTGGTGTGCATCATGCAGGAGGGTGGGTCGCTGGGGACTAGAGTGACAAAGCACCTCTCTGATGGTCACAATGACAGGAGGTGGGGATGGGATGGGACCCCGGATCCCCAGTGCCCTGTCCTGTGTTCAGTCACCAGCCATCAATACCACTATGGACAAGTGTCTGCCAGGGCCGTGCACATCCCTGCCTCACTGATGCCCGTAGCAGTGAGACTATTATTATCTCCACCTCACAGGTAGGGGGACCGAGGCACTGGGAAGTGGAGCAACTCCCCCAAGACCACACAGCCAGTGAAGGGCAAAGCTGGGATTAGAACCCAGGCAGACCACCTCTTAAGCACTGTGCTATGACTGAATGAATGAACCCCAGCTGTGAGATCCCCAAGAGAAACAACGACCCTGCAGAGTGCCCGTCCCCCACCCCACTGCCTGACAGTAGGACAGAGAGGTTGAGAGGCCCTAGGCTAGGGGCCCAGCTGACTGCAGTGTAAGAAGGAAGCTCCAGGATGCAGACCTAAGGGGATGCTGCAGTGAGGGCCAAGGAGGGATGGAAGAAGGGCTGGAAACAGGAAATCCACAGGCTGGTGGCAGCACCACCTGTCCTAGGCCCACCCACCTGGGGAAGTGCCCTACAGCTTCTGCAGGGTGAGTTGGCACCATCTCACTGCACCCTGGAACTGCCGGGCCCGTGCCTGCCAGAGCCGAAGGCACCGCCCCTGCTGCCACCACCCAGCTGCCCAAAGAAAGGTCACCCAGAGTGTCTCCAGGAGGGAAGGAGCCCTGGGAGCCTGGGAAGGAGGCGTGGAATCCTGGGTTGCCGGGGCCCCGCTTCATCCCTACCTCCGCCCACCTGCTCCTCCCCAGCCCGTGCTCTTCACCTTCTCCAGCGAGCCATCTCCTGCTGGGATGCTGCCCAGGGGCTCCAAGGCCAAGGAGGCGTGGGCCTTGCCTGAAGGGGAGGCTGGACCCCACACCCTCAAGCGCCACTGCCTCACGACGTGCCGCATCATCCGCTTCCGTGTGCCCTGGACCAAGGAGCTGCAGAAGGGGCAAGTGAGTCTGGCCGGGGCAGGGCTGCCAAGCAGGGAGCTCCCCCTGTGCCCCTTCTGCTTCATTACACAAGAAATAAGAAACTGAGGCTCAGCGGGGTAGGCAGCCTGCTCTGATTCACACTGGAGTTCAGGGGCCAGAAGTTCCCTGTGGTGAGACGGCCTCAGTGCTCCCTTCCCCAAGCCATCCCCAGTTCTGGCTTAGTGGCCTGGATGCAGCCTGAGCCTGCAGACTTTCCAGAGCTCCCTGGGTGACTCTAGAGAGCAGCTGAGGCTGGGCTGACGTTCCACCTGCATCGTCTGCCTGAGCCCTGCCACGCTCCCGGGGGGGCGGGGGTGATGGTGGTGGCTGGGAACCATGCACTGATCGGGTGGTCCCGGGCCCCAGACCCAGGGATCCCAGACTCCAGAGCCTATGTGCACAACCATTCCAGTGCCTCTGCCTCTACTCAGTTATCAAGAGGGGAAAACAACCTGGGGGACATCATTTCCCCAGGCTCCAAGCAGCACCAGACCCGGGGCTCGTCTAAGCCAGCAAGGCAGCCCTGGGAATGCTGCAGGAAGATGCCAGCTGTGCCCTGATGCCCGAAGGCCTGAGGATGGGAGGGCTCTGTGGTGACCTGAGCTCCCCTGGAGGTCCAGGGGTACACTGAAAGACACTGAGTGGCGCCAGCTAGCAGGGTGGTGGTTACGGCAGCTGGATTCCACATGACCAACTGTGTGACTCTAGTTCCAAACCTGGTGGCTTGAAAAATGTGCCAGACACATGTCTGTGTGTGCTCAAAATCCCGAGAGGAGAACAGAGGAAAAGGGACCGCAGTGTGGCCATCCCTCCTGGGGAAAGCTCTCTGGCAAACACATGTGCCCTAGAAAAAAACTTGAAAGAGACTGAGAGTCCAAGTAGACCAACCGAGTATGGGGAGGGATGTCGGGGGTGCAGATTTCAAGGGCAGAGTTCTTTTTGAGGGGTTAAAAATCATTTATTTGTTTAATTTTCTTTGCTGTTATTATTTTTAAACTTGATTAGTGAGAGACAGAAAAAGGGAAAGTGAGAAAGCAAGCTACCAGATCTGGGCCTTGAACCATGGTCAGCCATGTGGGAGTCCAGCACCATAACTACCACACCACCTGCTGGCTCCAAGGACAGAATTCTTAACCCTGCAACTGCTGGCCTACATTCCTCCTGATATTCCATCCGGGAAGCTCCTCCCTTTTGACCTCATCACCAGTCTGGGCTCAATCCCCCCAGTGACTGTCTGTGTAAAGGCAGCACTGAGGTCTCCCTCGGGGGACCTTCCGGCTCCAGACTGACAGTGTGATGTGGGGTAAGCTGCTTACCCCTAGGCCTCGGTTTCTCAGTTTTTGTGTAATGAAGCAAATGTGGTGAGGGTAAGAGCTCTGCCCCCTGGCTCTTTCCTGGCTCCTTTTCAGTGTTCATTCCATGTCTACAGCATGCCAAGCACCTGCTGGGTGCTGGGGAGACGGTAGACAGGAGGCAGCCCTGGTTTCTGCCACCCGGGGACTTGTACCCCCTGGGGAGATGGGTGAGTGGCAGCTCCATTTGGCTTGCAGCCGCCTTGGCAGAACTTCACGTCTGTGTCCACGGCAGCCCCATGACCCCCTGTGTCTCTGCTCAGTCCATGTCTGTGTCCCTGGACCACCTCCCAGAGCCTGACATCCACTAGGCGCCACAGTGGGCCAGGTTCCATGCTGGGACCATGGAGAGGAGAGGGATACAGCCCGTGCCTATGGAGCACTCCTCCGGGACTGGCACTGCCTACAGACCCACCCTGTGCCCCAGGCCAACCCAAGGTCACAGCTCATGGACACCTACTTGGCCCGCTGGTGCAGGGAAAGCCTCGTTCTCCAGAGCAGCAGTACCCGGAGGAAGGCCAGTTTCTGGCAGGATTCCTGCAGCGAGCTCTGGGGCAGTCCCTGGGTTTGAGCCAACATCCTGTGGTGGCTGGCTGCGGTGGCTTCAGGGGCTGAGCTGCGGAGCACTAAATTAGCTAAGAAGCAACCAGAGTGAGTCAGCCGAGTCCCGGCTGACCTCCCTCTGCCCAGAGCCATTGGTAGCCATTGATAGTTGTTACTTCAGGCCCCTGCGTGGGACCTCTCCCCTCAAGGGCAGTGCCCCTTCCCTCACCTCCAAGCCCTCCCTCCAGGCTGCCTCAGAGATCCCATCGTCCCCAGTCAAGTGGGATGTGGGTAACCCAGCACTTGGGAGAGGGCAGCATGAGGAGGTGGGGGTGGGAATGTGGTCCAGCCAAGGCCTCCCAACTTTGGGGACCCCTCCTGGACCCTCAGGCCTGACAGACTGCATCCTGGGAAAGCTTCCAATTCTACCACCGCCCACCACAAGAATCCCCCTGAAGGAGGGGCAGGTTTGCTGGGATGGGAAAGGGAGCCCCTCGGCCCAGTACTTGCTCACCCGCCTTCTGCCAATGGAGGGATAGCTGGGTCACCTTCGCCCCATCTGAGGCCCGAAGCTGCTTCATCTGCACCCACTGTCTCAGGCACGTCCTCAAGGTCCCTGCCTGGCAGTTAGCCAAGTGGTCCCGGTACCGGGCCCATCTTTGCATGAACTGCTGCCAGGCCCCGAAGCACCTGGGAGGACCGGGAGGAAGTAACTATACCAGTCTCAGTGACCGATGGCTGTGCCTGTCACGTGCCGGACATGCCACCAAGGCCTGGGGCCAGTCATTTCATCTCTCTGAGCCTCAGTTTCCTCCTTATAAAAGGGGGCTACCACAGGTCTGGTGTGCCACCCGTTTGTTCAGATGCCTCCAACCTGGCCGCCTGCATCCACTCTTGCCCCACTCTGGTCAATTTCTGCTTGAACAGAATGATATTTTACCAGTCTCAGAATGAACCCTCGTACTTGTCTGCTAATTCTTCCAATGACAGCTCCTTTGCTCTTAACGAATTAATAATCAATTTCGATATGTGGGCCTTACTTAGATCCTGATTCAAACAAACACGAGATATACTGCTAACTTGAATAGTGACCAGCTGTGTATTGGTATAAAGGAATTATTGTTCTTTTTTTTAGGTGTGAGAATTGCGATTATGGTTCTTTTTATGAATGATATATATTTATTATGAGGTTTTTTTTTTTAATTTGACCAGAGAGAGAAGGGACAGCTGGTGGTGTGGTGATTAAGGGGCTGGACTCCCATATGGCCAACATGGTTCAAGTCCCAGACCTGGCAGCTTGCTTTCTCACTCTTCCTCTCTCTCCTTCTCTTACTGCTCAAATATAATAATAATCATAACAACAAACAAAGTTAAATAATTCTTTTTTTTTTGAGAGGAATATTTTTGCTATAGGGCATATGTGCTCGCTGAAGACACAGAGAGCGGCAGAGAGAAAGAAAGCAAGAAATCACCCCCCAGGGGGGATGGCCATGCCACAATCCCTTCTCCTCCATTATTCTCTCAGGATCTTGGGCATGCACGCACACGCGTCTGGCATGAGTTTAAGCCACCAGGTCCAAAACTCAAACCACGGTCGACCATGTGGGAGTCCAGCAACATGACCATTACACCATCTGCTGGTGCACATAAATAATTCTTATTTTTTATTTTTTGAAGAGGTTTTTGCGATAGGGTGCATGCACTCGCCAGACAGACAGAGAGAGACTGAGACAGAAAGAGAGAAATCACCCCCCAAGGAGGATGGCCATGCCGCAATCCCTTCTCCTCCATTATTCTCTCAGGATCTTGGGCATGCACGCACACGCGTCTGGCATGAGTTTAAGCCACCAGGTCCGGTATTCGAACCACGGTCGACTATGTGGGAGTCCAGCGACATAGCCGTCATGCCAACTGCTGGTCCCAGTAATTCTTTTTAAAAAGTATATTTTACAGAGGAATACAAAAATATTTATGGGTGAAATGGTCTGATGTATGAGATCTGTCTCAAAAGAACTTGAAGAGAGGGGTCAGCCATTAGTGTAAATGGCTATGTCGCTGGATTCCCATGTAGCCAACCGTGGTTTGTGTTCCGGACCTGGTGGCTTAAAACTCACGCTGGGTGCGTGTGCGTGTGTGCTCAAGATCCCAAGAGGATAATGGAGGAGAAGGGATTGTGGCATGGCCATCCCCCCTGGGGGGTGATTTCTCGCTTTCTGTCTCTCTGTCTTTGTCTGTCTGGCCAGCGCACGTGCCCTATAGCAGAAAAAAAAAAAAAAATCTAAAAAAAGAACTTGAAGAGGGAAAATATTTGGGGTACACAAAAAACCAGCTTGCCTAGGAGGTTGGTTTTGTTGAAGCAGGTGATTGCTATGCTGGGGCTTATTATTCTATTCTTTTTACTTTTGTGTAAGGTAAGAATGTGCTCTAGGCCCAGCTGTAGTGGTGCAGGTGGTACGGTGCCACCGAGCAATGCTGGAGCCATATAGGAAGGCCCCAGGTTCAGATCCTGGGTCAACCGGAACATGCCAGGTGTTCCTGTGGGTGCACCTGTGATCTTGACCAGCTGGAAGTCTGGGGGTACGAATTGCATGTGGTAAGATCCTGTTAGTTATACCTGTCTTTCTTTTCCCTCTCTCTCAAAATAAATAAACTTTAAAAATATATCCCTAATGTCTGGCAGGTGGCATGGCGGTTAAGGGTGCTGGACTCCCACGTGGCTGACCTGGTTTGAGTCCAGAACCTGGCAGCTTTCTCTTTCTCTCTGTCTCTCTCTGGCCAAACTGAAGAAGAATAATAATAAATAAAGTTGGGACCAGCAGTCGGCATAATGGCTATGTTGCTGGACTCCCACTTAGTTGACCGTGGTTCGAGTCCCAAATCCGGTGGCTTAAACTCATGCCGGGCACATGTGCGTGCATGCCCAAGATCCCGAGAGGAGAATGGAGGAGAAGGGATTGCGGCATGGCCATCCCCCCTGGGGGGGTGATTTCTCGCTTTCTGTCTCTCTGTCTGTCTCTGTCTTTCTGGTGAGCGCACATGCCCTGTAGCAAAAACCTCTCCAAGAAAGAAAGAAAATAACAAATAAAGTTAAATAAACACTTATTAAAAATACTTCTGAATAAAACGTTAACCACAAGAGAAGAAAGAAAACTTAATAGAGGTCTGTTCCCCTTCTTTGTCCGACCCCTGACTCAGACGGCATCTCCACACCCTTAGACTGCTAATATCCTGGTTATTCTGTGATGGTGGGCAGAGCCAAAAGTAAGTTTTGACTAAAACCAGACCCCAGCCTGGGGCAGTCCAGCCATCTTAGGTGCACCTGTACATGGAAGCTGCTTTCCTTTCTTATTCACATCCTTGTCTCTCAACACTGGAAGGAGACAAGAGCTGACTTACAGGGAAGGGGCTGCCCTCTTCCACGTCCCCCCTACCTGCACAGCCAGACTCTCTGGTGCTCGGAGTCCAGTGGGACCACCTGGGCCATATCTGTGGCATGAGGGCGCCAGGCCTGGGGAGGCTTCTCCATGCTCTGGGTCCTCCCTGTGGCCTCCCTGGGGAGCCCCCTCTCTGGCATGGCCTGTTCCTTTTGATGGCACCGAAGGAGGAAGACTGAGGAGGGAGGAAGGAGAGAGAGGGAAAAGAGAGAGTGAGCACAGTATTGGAGCCAGGAGAGCCACTGAGCCCGGGGACACCAGTTGTTCCCAGCTCTGAGCCATGCAGCCTCTGGTGGCATGAGGAAGGTATGTCTAGCTCCAACTCTCCAGCCTCGGGTGTGGGCCTGCATCAGGGTCAGCGGCACACAGCTGCAGGAGGTGCTTCTCTCATGCTGCGTGTCCCAAGGCTGGTAGTTTAACACCTCTGGGCCTCAGGTCACAGTCAGCAAGATGGGCACAATACCTTGTGAAGACTTATATGAGATTGTGTCTGGGAAGTTGCCACAAAAACACTCACTCGGAGCTGGCACGTGGCGTGGTGGTTAAGGGCGCTGGACTCTCACATGGCCAACTGTGGTTCAAGTCCCAGACAGCTTGGTTTCTCACTTTCCCTCTCTGTCTCCTCTCTCTCTCTCTCTCTCTTTCTCTCTTACTCTCTGCCCCTCTCTAAAAATAGATAAGTTAAATAAAATAATTATTTAAAAAATAAAAAACAAGGGGCTGGTAAGTGGCATGGCGGTTGGGGTGCTGGACTCCCACATGCTTTCAGTCCTGGACCTGGTAGCTTGCTTTCTCACTTTCCATTTCTCTCTCTCTCTGTCTTTCTCTGATCAAATTAATAATAATAACAAATAAAATTAAAGTAATTCTTAAAAACAACTAAAAAAAAAAACAAACCACTCAGGGTGCCCTGCCCTTCCCCATGTGGGTGCTCAGGCCCTGCCTGGCCTGCCACCATTTCCCAGGATTTCAACCTCTCACCAGCCAGCTGTTGCAGGGCCTGCAGGATCTGCAGTCTCCTGTCTTCGCTCTCTGGTCTCCGCCCAGGATACAACAGAATCCTCCAGGCTTCCTCCTCCTCCACCTCCTCCAGATTCCCTGGGCTAGGAGTGAAGTTGTCCAAAGAGAAACAGGGTGCCAGCACACGGTGCCAGCCCATGCACCAGGGCCTGCAGCAGGCAGTGGGGCAGAGAGGCGCTGAGCCATCACCTCCACTCTTCCAGACACTTCATTTTATTCCTGATTATAAAAGCTATTTGGAGGGAGGTACCTGCTTTTGCTTTGTTCTCTTTTACACTATTTGGATATATTTTTTTTACAACAAACACGTATTAAGATAAAAAGAATTCAAATCTTTTTTTACCTTTTTAAATTTTGCCAGAGGGCACATATACTTGTCAAAGAGGACAGAACAGAGAGAGAAAGCATCATCCGGTGGGGTGTAGCCATGGCATAATCCCTTCTCTTCCATTTTTCTGTCTTGTCTGGATTTGGGGCACACATGCACACATGCCTGGTGTGTTTTTCAAGCCACTGGGGCCGGGATTTGAACTGCTCTCAGCCACGTAGGCTGCAACTTCCTTAACCATTTACTGCACTGTGGAACTGCTCCAAGATACTATTATTTTTGTTCTCCTTTTTTTTTTTTTATGTAACATTCTCATAATCATTTTTCCTATATGTATAAATTCTGTGCAAATGCCCATAAAACTACTTCCAGGAAGGGGAAAATGTTGGTGGGGAGAGCTCTGAAATTAGTTTATATACTTCCAACTATTTTGAATGCGTTTTCAAATCAAGCATGCATTACTGTTAAAATTAGACATAAAACTGGGATCAGATCAGCAGATGGTGTAACGGTTATGTCACTGGGCTCCCACATAGTCAACCACAGTTCAAGTCTCACACCAGGTGCACGTGCATGCAGGCCCAAAATCCCAAGAGAGAATGGAGAAGAGATTGCGATTGTGGCCATCTCCCCGGGCGGGGGCGGGGGGGCG